GCATCTTCTGAAGGCTCCGTGGCCACTTGGGGCCAATTTGGGCCATCTTTGCCAGGTTGACGCTCTTTCGCCATCTTCGTTGTTGCGTCCGAGAGTTGATTTGGAGGGTCTGAGGGCCAGAGATGCATTGGCGAGCTCGTGCCCTCCACCCGTCTCCAGCTTCCTCAAACATCGTATTGTCAGGAGGGAAAAACACACACAGACACAATTGATCGTCGAATCCCCAGAAAATATGTGAAAATATGGGAAGTGGGGGGGAAGACAATAACCCAGAAAATATTGGAAAATGTGGGGAATCCTGTTATTTGTGTCTATTTGTTTGTGTGTCCCAGGGCCCCTTCATATTGGACATCTGGGCCGGGGGAGAATTGGACAGCCAGTCATCTCACAGGCCTTCTCATCCCGGGCAGGCGGGGGTCGGCGGATTCTCACATCCATCAGCACATCCGTGTGGTCGCCTTCGGCCCATCCAACACCATCCCTGTGGGTTGTACTTTACTCGTCCCACCCTCCCTCCTCCGTGCGGAGGCTTTGGTCGAAAGACCCCAGGCGCCTTCAAAGGATCAGGACGAGTGGTTGGGCCAAGCTGTGGCGCGGAGTAAAAACGCGGGGGCGGGGAGGGGGAGGGGGAGCGGAATCTGGCGCATGCAGCTGGCTACGGCCCCGCCGCTTGGCAGCTTTCTCTGTGCCTGGACGCTCCCAGCGCCGAGAGGCGCCAGGAAAACCAGTGGCATGCGGCTGATTCGCCGACACCCCTTCTCAACTACCCCCCCCCAGTTTCGCTGGCGGGCCTTCCTTCTACGCCAGTGGACAGCTTCGCCCAGGACGGACCCCAAACAGATATTCACCAGGGTTCATAATGATCCGGGAATATGGACTGGGGTTCATGTTGTTCCTCCGGGAACACGAGACCGGGATGTATAATGTTCCGGGAATAATCCGAAGAAGTAATTACAGACCCCCCCCTCTTCTGGCGAAACGATAACCGTCCCGCACCTTGGAAGCGTTATTCTGGCACCTTTGGCTAGGAGGAGGAGGAGGAGGAGGAGAAGGAGGAGGAGACGGCGATGGCGACGGCGACGGCGACGGCGACCAGGCGGATCGGCCGACTCGCCTAAGTCATCCTCACATTTCTTAATAGAATTGGCCAAATCGCCTGAGACATCCTCGCATTTCTTAATAGAATTGGCCAAATCGCTTCAGACACCCTCGCAGTTCTTAGTAGCATTTGCAAAATCGTCTGAGACATTCTCACATTTCTTAACAGAATTGGCCAAATCGCCTGAGACATCTTCACATATCTTAGTAGAATTTGCCAAATTGCATCAGACATTATCATATACCTTAGTAGAATTTGCCAAATCGCCTCAGACATCCTCACATGTCTTAGTAGAATTGGCCAAATGGCATGAGACGTCCTCATATTTCTAGATAGAATTGGCAACATCGCTTGAAACATTCTCGCATGTCTTCATAGAATTGGCCAATTCGCCTGAGACATCCTCACATTTCTTTATAGAATTGGCCAAATCGCTTGAGACACCCTCGCGTTTATTAGTATAATTGGCCAACTTGCCTGAGACATCCTAAGATGTCTTAGTAGAGGCAGGATGAAGACAGGCAGGAGGAGGAAGAGAAGGAGAAGAGCGAGAAGAAGCAGGAAGATGTCACGCGGATTTTTTTTGTGCCGGGTGCTAAGATAACGCCGCGGTGCGGAGCGGGCGGGATACCCTCGGGTGAACCACCCCCTACGACGGCCGAAAAAAATAGATTGCTCTAGAGGAGTTCCAATAGAAACCTCATCGGGAAAAAACAAGCGGATCAGAACGAAGAGTAAGGGAGGAAGAAGAGGAAATCGCCAATTCGCCTCAGACTTCCAGAAATTTCTTATTAGATTTGGCCAAATCGCCTGAGACATCCTCACACTGCTTAACAGAATTGGCCAAATCGCATGAGACATCCTGACATGTCTTAGTAGAATTGGCCAAATCGCCGGATACATCCTCGCATTTCTTAATAGAATTTGCCAAATCGTGTGAGACATCCTCGCATTTTCTCGCAACGGTAACAGTTACGGTGTCAGCAGTACCTGCAACACTCGCCTTATTATTATTGTTCTTATTCGCATTCTTATTCGCATTCTTATTCTTATTCCAATTCCAATTGGGATGCCATCCGAGGCGGGGTGCAGGAATTATTTATTTTCCTTTCATTTGCGCGGTGCTAGTTACATCGTTCGGCGAACCCCCCCACACATAATTATTTAATTACGGTGCGGTGCTAATGATAACGCCGGGGGGGTTCTTAATAGCTTCTCCGGGTTATTCACTGGGGCTCATACTGTTCACCCGGAACAGTATAGACCCAGGCTTATAATGTTCTGCGGGGGAGATTTTGGGAACCACAGAACGATGATTGTTAGTTTGTTATTCTGGATAAATATTGATGTTGATTTTCCCCCCAACCCCTGGGCTCCCAAATTGGATTCATTCATTATTTTCGAGTATTGACTTATGATGTTCCAACCTACTTTAGCCGTACCACCAGAGAATTTCGAGCACCAGGAAAGAACCGAAACTCTAGGGTTTTCACGTGTCGGGCCCTTGGAGACACTCGCCCAACACTGATTCGACAATATTTCGGCACCCTTTCAACACTTTTCCGGGTGCTCGAAATTATTTTTGGGATGTGGTCTTGACGCACGATGGGAGCAACATAAGTATTCACCTTGTTTCATCATCTCTGGGACATGATAAACTGGGGTTCGTAATGTTCTGAGAATGACGCACCCAGGTTTTATTCATATCCTGGAGTGATAATAATGGAGCCCGGGGGTCGCCGGTGGAGCTTTAGTCAGGAATGGTGACGCCAGATTCATCTTGTCGGAATGATGTTGGTTATTGTTTCCCCCGAACCTCCGGACTCCAGATTGGGATCCGCTATGTTCGAACATTGACCCCAGTTCGTTGTGTCTGGAACATTATAAACTGGGTATTATAATGTTCTAGAGATATGACGTCGGCTTTATTTTTCCTGAATGATAAGAACGGAACGGTGAGGGAAAGCTTGAGAAGAGGTTCTGGACGGCACAACCCTGGTTCATTGTGTCGGGATGTTGATCACGGGCTCATTTTTCCGGAATGATAGTTATGCCGCGGGGGGGAAACCGATCCATCCACAGGACACCATTCCACAGGGAGTTACCAACTCAAAACAATCAGCCTAGGTGAATCATTCTCTGATGATGAACCACGGTCCACGAAGGTTTCGCGGGTGTCCTCGCTTTGCCAGTGGGCCGTTCCGCCCGCGGGGCGTCGCCGTCGTCATCCTCCCGCTCGTCGTCCTGCTCGTCCTTCCCTGGTCCTCGCCCTGCTCGTCGTCGGCATCCTGCTCGCCCGGGTCCACCCCGGCACTGTCCGCCCCCCGGGGAGCGGACGGGCCCGCACCGAGATGGGGCCGTGAGCTCTCGGGGCGGGCAGGCTCCAGAGTCTGTGCTGCCCCCTCTGCGCTCCTGCGGCAAGAGGGCTCGGGGGGGGAGGGGGGGGGTGAGTCGGGCGCGTCCCTCGACGAGAGGAGTATTCATAAATAGTCAAAAGATAGTCTGGGGACGATCTTGTTTTCACTATGTTTGGATATTGTCAGTGCATGTTTGATCATTTTTGATTTTTGAAGGTGCCTTTTCTGATTATTGGTATCCTTCGTCCAAAATCCGCCTGTAGGAGGACTTGCCCGACCTGAGGGTAGGGGCATCGCTCGAACGAGCGTGTGCATTTGATCTCGGCGAGGACTATAGAGGAGCATCTTGGATCATCGTACGAAAAATACGCACGAAGTAGGAGCAAAACACGGGGAATGGACGTCCGAGCGATGGCGAGGCAGCTCCCCCCCCTTTTCCTTCGGGGGATGGCGGTCAGCGACAATGTCAAGGGGGGGGTGGGATAGGCTCAGGGGGGGACGCGTGGACCCCCCAATCATTCACTGATCGCCGATAGGGGCACGATGACCCGCCCCGCCAAGGACCGTGCGGAGTTGCTATCGAAGGCCTATGTCCGATCTGTCAGCGATGCACCGCCGGTTCAGGCTCGATGTGTCCCCGCAGTGAGCCGGTCCTTTCCCAGCGTCCCCCCTCAAGGGGAGGGGGAGGAGAAGCAGCTCCTCCTCTCCTTTTCCTACGGGGGATGGCAGGCGGAGGGGATCAATCTGCCGCGTGATTCTGGTCTTGGTCCGCCGCACAGCGCTTTGCTCTACATTTAAGTCGGGCCTGTCCCTCTACAAGAGGAAAATTCAAAAATAGTCAAAAAATAGTCTGTTTTTTTTGTTGGGGGGGTTTTGAACATGTTTGAGGGCTTTTTTTGTTTTTCGTCCAAAAACCGCCTGTAGGAGGACATGCCCGACTTAACTCTACATGCATGGCCGCTCCTGGAACCTTTCCCAGCACCAGAAGCTTTTTGTGAGTTCGGCGGGTTTGCTCCTCCCCCGTCGTCCAGCCCGAAGCCTTCTCGCTCCCGACGTCATCACGATCTGCCCGTGCCCGAGTATCTGATATTTGAACAGCTGCACCAGAGGCACAATGGCTGAACGTACAAGGATCCACTTTGCCGTCGGAAGAAGAATAACGTGAGCGGGACGATGAGGAACCCTGCCGACGTCATCACGATCTGCCCGTGGCCGAGTATCTGATATCTCAACAGGTTCACCGGAGGCACAAAGGCAGACACATACTCAAACATACAAGGGTCCAATTTGTCGTCGGAAGAAGAAGAAGAGTGTGAGCGGGAAGATGAGGAACATAATGTTAAGTCGGGCCTGTCCCTCTACAGGGGGAATACTCAAAATAGTAAAAATAGTCTGGGGACCATTTTTTGAGTATTGTTTGACCATTTTGGGGTATTGTTTGACTATCTTTATTCTTCGTCCAAAAATCCCCCTGTAGGAGGAGAGGCCCGACTTAAACATAATGCGAGGACACCCGCCGGTCTTTGGATCTCCAGGGGGAGCCAGAGGGAAAGAGGAGGAGCAGGTCGAGGAGAAGGAGCATATGCTATGGGAGGGAGCAGGAGAAGCAGAAGCATCCAGGTGGGGAGGCAATGGAGGAGAAGCTTCCCCGCCCAACGACTTCAGTTGCCCCCGCTCAGGAGTAGGATCGAAGAACAACAACCGCATCAACTGAGGCCTCCTAAATGGGGTCGGAGTAGAGGAGCTCGGAGGATCGCTCCACATCGCCGATGCATCGCCGATGCATCGCCGATGCGGCTCGATGTGGAGCCCGACTTGCTTCGCGTCGACGTCGCCGATGCATGGTCGACGTCGACAATGCATCGCTGGCGCATCACCGTTTCATCGCCGATGCATCGGCGATGAGGCGCGATCCTCCGACCCCATCTACTCCGGCCCCATCTAGGAGGCCTCCCATCAGCATAAGCTGTCGGAGGTCTGCGCGGATTTCTTGGGTCGGCGTTGGGATCCCCCTGGCGACGCCGCTGGCGCCGCCCACGTCGCGCTCCGCGCGCTGGGGGAGGGGAGGAAGTCCAGCGCCGACCCAGGAAGGCCGCGCAGACCTTCGAAGGTGTATTCTCGTGCAGGTGCTCCATCCCTCTTGGGGAGGAGCGAATGTCGGATGAGGACGACGACGACGACGACGTTGACGACGACGCTGACGAACGACGACGACGACGACGACGACGACGACGACGACGACGTTGACGACGACGCTGACGAAGGACGACGACGACGACGACGACGACGACGACGACGACGACGACGCGCGGCGAGCGACGAGCGGCGAGCGGCGAGCGGCGAGCGGCGAGCGGCGCCGACGACGACGACGACGATGACGCCGACGACAACAGCGGGGGTCGGGTGACGACAGTTGGGGTCGGGTGGACCCCCATTACCACCCGCCCGAGGGGGGGGGGGGCAGGCGACAAGGCTGCCCTCGAGGCGGCGGTCGATGAGAACTTCGCCTCGCTGGGGCCCGAGCAGATCGCGCAGCTGCAGATCAAGGTCGCGGAGGATATCCTCCGCGCGCGGGCGGGTAGGAAGGAGGAGGAGTACGAGGAGGAGGAAGGGGAGCATGACGCGGAGGAGGACGAGGAGGAGGAGGACTAGGACGAATAGGAGGAGGACGATGACAAGGAGGAGGAGGAGGAGGACGGGGAGGGGGAGGAGGAGGGCGAGGAGGAGGAGAAGAACGGGGAGCAGAACGGGGAGCAGGACGAGGAGGAGGAGGAGGAGGAGGAGAAGAAGGAGGAGGATGAGGAGGACCAGGAGGACAAAGAGGACGAACCGCCGTGCACTGGGTGACTTTTGCCCAAAGGGGCCACTATTCGTTTCATGTATCGTTGCATTACCTCTCTGCACCAGTCCGCGGCTTAATGTGTGTTACTCGTTTCGCTTAATTCGGCCGACTGATGTTTTCACACCCGAGGTACGCTACAGTTCAGCAACTGAAGTTGGCCGAATGTTAAAAAGGAGGGGGAGGAGGATGACCAGGAAGACGACAAGGAGGAGGAGGAGGAGGAGGAGGAGGAGGAGGAGGGAGTAGAGGGTGGGGGTGGGGGAGGAGGGGGTCAGGATGGAGACTGAAGGAAAGGGAGGGGAGGGGTGGTTGGAGGAGGAGCACCATGAGCAGGAGAAGAAGGGGGCGATGAAGGGAGGGAGGGAGACCCGAGAATGACGGGAGTTCCGGGAGGGAGTGGCGAGCAGGGAGGAGCAGAGAGCAGAAGCAGGAGGAGCGGCGGGTGGGGTGAGGGGAAAGAAGGGCGACGAGGAGGGAGGGGGACGAGGAGGAAGAGGCGGGGCGAGAACTAGGACGAGGACGACGAGGGAGGGGGACGAGGAGGAAGAGGCGGGGCGAGGACGAGGGCAATGACGAGGAGGTGTAGTGGTGTGGAGGAAGAGGTGCGCGGGAGCCCGCGCCCCTTGAGGACCCGAGCCCGGACAACCCGGCCAACGCGCTCGGGGACGCGCTCCAGGTCTGCATGCAGAGGCTCGGCGGCAGGGGGCGAAGGGAGGAGCAGCAGCAGCAGTCGGGAGCGGCCAAGAGGGGGGTGGATATCATGGCCAGGGCCATGATATTTACCCAGATGTCATAGCCCTTTTTTATTTCAATACGTTCCCTGGCCCCCCCCCCTGGCACCCCCCCCCTGGTCCGTGCACGTGCCTCGGGCCATGATTTGCACACACCCCTCTTGAACGCCCCCCTCTTGGACGCCTCCAGAGCAGCATCGGCAGCAGCGGAGACGAAGGTGATCCAGGCCCGCTACAGTCAACCCGCATAGCAAGGATGGGCCACCTTCCCAAGGGTACCCTTGCATCCTTGCCCCTTCGGCCCAGCCTTGGCGACTTTCGCTGGCCAACCCCGTTCGAAAAGCATTCACATGGGCCTCCAAGGCAAGGCCCTTGCATCATTACCGCGCATCCTCATGATACGGATTGTCCGTGTGTTTTTCCCATTGCTTGCCACACATACCTGCACGTGCGCTGACGGGTGCACTTTTCCGAACAGGGGACTTGCGCAATAGCACTGCCCGCGCTGCTGCACGATCACCCTTCTCACGGCCCCGAAAGCTTTACCTGGAGACAGCGGAGAAGAGGGCTCGGGCCCAGGCGAGCAGACCCTCCTGCCTGCCGCTCGCTCCGCTCTCCAGAGGCACGGGGGAGAGAGCTGTGGCTGCGTCCTGGCCGCGCGCGAGGAGGAGCGAGGGCCGCGCGAGCACCGCACGAGGCGGCGCGGCGCACGCGCGGCGGCTCGTCGGTCCGGGGTGCCGCGCCCGAGTTTGCCGCTCGCTGCGCTGGTGACGTCGGGCTCAGCGTTGTCGAGGACGAAGGGAGCGTGCACGCGGCAGCTGCCGAGTGAAAGAGGGGGCATGGAGGTTTTGCCACGGTGCGATGGCGAGAAGGACCCCCGGCCCCCACCCCCCCACCAGCGAGATGTACAGATGCCCAGACTATCCAGACCAGCGGCGGCTCACTAGATGTTGATGCGCCCTGCGTGGGGCAACGAAGACGGTTGCGCGCAGGTCTTTGCCAGATGCATTACAGGATATTGTTGTTTGCTCGGTGAATTGAGATTGTGCCCAGTGCCACTTATTGCCTAAGGGGTTCGTCCTATTGCTCGTGCTTTGATCCGAAGTGATGCATTGGCCGAGTCAGCCGACACATCGATACGTCAGCTTCGCCTTTGGGGAGGTGGAACGAAAATGGGAAGAAGAAGAAGAAGTGGACATAGTTAAGGCGTGGTCGGGCCCCCATCCCACAACGTGGCGGTGCGAACCGCACGCTGCCAGCATAGCGTATGTAAGTTGCGAAAGTTGCTAAAGCGGGTAAGATAATAATAATAATGAAAAAAATTACAGTGGAGGGGCGGGAAACGATAACGAGGAACAGGCAAAAGGAGGAAGGGGGCCAGTCGCGGAGCTGCAACAGCAGCAGGATACCGGGAGGGGCATGATGATGAGGATGCCATGGGCTTTTGAATCAAAAGTTAAAAAGCGGGTGACCGTGAGTCGAAGTGGAGCTCTATTGAAAACCACGCAGCATGTTGTGTCAAGCACAGCCGAGATTCCTTCGGTCACGCGTGAACATGCACAGGGGTATCCCCCTCAGGACAGATGAATCGTGATTCATGACCAACAGAAACATCAGTAGATCGAGCAAGGTACGAGGAGGCCCGCATGCGCTGCGAAAATAGCTGTGCAGCAGCCGGAGCAGGAAAAGGAGGAAGATTTAGAACAACGGGGCCTCGGCGAAGCGGCGTGTTGGGACCGACGGCCTATCGCCGCTTCAAGGTTCCATCAATGAGCGAGTATTGATGAAAAGCTGGCCTTGGAGAAAGACACTGGGTCCAGGACCCGTTTCCTTTCTAGAACATGTAATGCAATTGTTGTGCAGGGCATTCGGGGTGGTCCACTGACGGTCCCACCCCAACCTTGATTCCCAGTAAGCATTGGGATTGATACAACCGACGCGTGTTGGGCTCAGTGCGCTGGTGGATTCGTAAGTACACTCAACGCGTTGGAAGAAGAACCGCTTCGACTTGAGACACTCTTCCTCCCGCCCCCTCTCTCCCCGCACCCTTCCCGCGCGTGCTTTCTTCTCGACCTGACGTTGCTCTGCTGACTGAGGCGGTGCTGCGGCCTGGCCCTGGCTTTCGCTCGAGGCCTGCCTCCCCCGGTGGGTGCCGCCCCCTGTTCTGCCCTCCGCCATCTTATTTGATGATTAGCGGGTGTGTTTTGCCGCTGGTCTCCAGGGCCACAAGGAGTTCCTATAAACACATGTCATGTTGTATGCAATCTCGCCGGGTGCGGTTTTTTGGGGCATGTGCTGGGCTGCAGTTCCGAGATGTTCTCGTGGCCCCCAGCGTGCCACACCATTTTCTGTCTCATCTTGCCCCTGCCTGACGCAGCGTCGTGCGTTCTGGAGTCCGCGCTCTATTTTCCCGCTGGTGACTTTCGTTTTGGGCTGGTTAGGACAAGGGCGATGGCTGCACGCCGTCGTGTCCACTCTCCCCTGTCTCCTCTCCTCCACTTCCTCCCGCTCTCACTCCTGGCTGGCACACTTCGGCGACTCATCCTCGATGTGGATCCTGCTTGTGGGGCTGCTGCGGGAAAACAAAATTCCTCTCCCCTGTCCTATCCGCGATCTCGGCACCAGACCCGCTTTAGGTCTGATGTCCGCCAGGGCCAGGCATGTCGGCCAGAGGTCCCAATCCCGCCACAAAGGAGGGGGGGCCATCGGGAAGGTATGCCTCAACACCCAGGCGGTAGGCGCCAGACCACCCGGGTGCCGGCTGACAGGGCGCACACGCAAAAAATCGGGGGCCCCCAAACGGTGTGGTGACCACACCGTGCGGTGAGTCGGTGGGGATTCGGGGTCACCGCACGGTTTTGGGACTCGAGTCCCTCTCCGAGGATGTCTCGTGCGACAGGGGCCTCCAGGGTCCCAAGACCGTGCGGTGACGGACCGTGCGGTGAGGTCTCTGGGCCAGTGGTAAATCGGCCAGTTGGGCCCAGGCCACGCCGCTGGGGATGGGGATCGGTTAATCGATACTCGTGGCCACACCCCCGCGCTCTCCTGACCGACAGGCGCATGGAGTCCTCCAAAGAGCTCATCATGGAGGGGCCGGCGGGCGCGCGCGGGCGTCCCCGGGCGGGGAGGTGGAGAGGGAGGAGGGGGAGGAGGAGACGGGGGAGGATGTTCGTATGAGGAGGAGGGGGCGGAGGAGGAGGAGGAGGAGGAGGAGGAGGAGGAGGAGGAGGAGGAGGAGGAGGAGGAGGAGGAGCAGGAGGGGGAGGAGGAGGAGGTGGAGGAGGAGGAGAGGAGGAGGAGGAGGAGCAGGAGGGGGAGGAGGAGGAGCAGGAGGGGGAGGAGGAGGAGGAGGAGGAGGAGGAGGAGGAGAGGAGGAGGAGGAGGAGGAGGACGCGGAGGAGGAGGACGCGGAGGAGCAGGAGGAGGGAGGAGGCGGACGGGAGAAGGAAGGTGCATGAGACGATGGAGTCTCACGAGGAGGATGCGGAATAACCCCCGTCAGGCCAGCCAGGCGTCTGGACAACCAGTCAGCCAATCTGCCGGCACTGGTTCAATCGGTTATTCATTGGTTGGGCAACCTCCATGTTCTGATCTCCTTCGCCCTTTTCCTCGCAAGTCGACCGCTCAACTTCTTAGTCGTCGCCAACCAACTCGGCCTGTTCGCTCAAGAGCCGACCGGGCCGCCGAACCATCATTCCCCATCCCGATGTCCTGTCATCAACGGTGCGAGGAGCAAGAATGAGGAAGAGGCAGAGGAGGAGGAGAGCGAGGCAGAGGCAGAGGAGGGGTGAGTTCTGGGAGGGGAGGGAGTGTACTCTGCCGGCCTCCGCCTGTTTCCATGGCCCATGGCTGTGCTGCTGCGAGGTCCGCCTGTTTCGATGACCCAGAGGATAATCGCTAGATGATTCGTCGAAGCCCCAGAGGACAACTTGCTCCAACTTGCGCGTTTGGGCGGACGGGGGTGAACGTTGTACTCATCGCGAGCGCGCGTGTGACATCGAAAAGATGTTACACCATGACAAAAGTACGAACATCCTCCCCTGTCTCCTCCTCCCCCTCCTCCCCCTCCACCTCCTCCCCCTCCTCTTCCTCCTCCCCCTCCCGCAGGAGCTGTTAGACCATAAAAAGATGAACATCATGGGCGACGTGCAGAGAGTCCTCAAGAAGGCGGGGCAAAGCTCAGCGGAGGAGGAGAAGAAACCGGCAGTTTGGTGATCACAAATCTCGAAGAGGTGGAGGGGAAGACGAGCATCCAGAAAACATTGGAAACACGGGGATTCCTGGCATCGGTGCCTACTTATTTGCATGAAGCGAAAGCGCCATAAACATATACTTGTGGCGCTCCGCGCGGATTTGGATCCGCGCTGGGGCCCCCCCTGACGGCGCCTCCGGCGCGCTCCGCGCGCCAGGGAGGAGGGTCAGGCGCAGGTCCAAGAAATCCGCGCGGAGCGCCAAAAGTGTATGTTTATGTCGTTTCTTCTTCTAATCTAAAATCGGGTATAGCCCGAATGATGTGTTTTGCTTTGGGCTGCACACTGTGATTCTCAAGGTGCCTTGAGTTTCATCCGACACGCCCTCGCCGATGCTGCACATCGTCGAATTGATTGCCGACGCCCAGGAGGAGAAGCAGAGAGGACGAGGAGGATGAGGAGGAGAAGGGAAGGAGGAGAAGGCATAGGAGGAGGAGGAGGAGGAGGAGGAGGAGATGAGGAGGAGGGGAAGGAAGAAGAGGTGTATGCAATTTAACGCCCAGGGTTCTTGTGTAATCCGTTGGATTTGTCTCGAGTGAATGTAACCGCGGACGGGTGGTATGCAACACACATGACATCCGCACTTTCGCCGTTTCATCCGTAACATAGAACGCGGCCTTGCATCGAATTGTTCTGCTAAGTTTGCATGGTAGCGGAGCGAGGTTATGGCACTGAGATCAGGTCAAACAATACCCGCCACACTCAAGAATGGATTGGATACAACCTTGCGAACTTCGGGGCCAACTGCCTGACCGCATGCATTCAGGTTGATTACGATTTGCCAACGCGGCGCTGCAAGCGAACCGCGGCGCGATCACAAGCTACATTGTTGAACAAGATAGGATGTGACCAATGAGCCCGCCCTGTCAATGATGCGGACGCTTAGTAAATCAAACGCGGCTCTGTTGAGCATCATCGATCGCGAAGAAAAACATGAGGCAGACACGAAGTTAGTCAAACATCGAATTTCTTTCTGAATTTGAGCGAGTAACCGAAGAAACGCTACAAACGAATGAGATCTTCACTCAGCTGGCTGGCAAAGTGGGAGCAGACAAGGGCAAGTCAACCCAAAGGCCGATCAGCGAGTCGAAGGCAATTCAGACACCGAAAAACTTCCAACGGAGGAAGGATCAATTTTCGAGAGTAGAATGACTGACTGCAGAACGCCCAAGCCCAGGTTGACAACGGCAACCGCGAAGCATACAAGTTGATAAACTTCAAGCTTGGAACCATGGATTCAGCCGTGCCAAACCCAAACGAAGAAAGCGACAAAGTCAGGCTCATGAGCGGCAAGCTGACAGTGGCAGTGGCGAATTCGGAGGGGCTAAGTACATTGGATGACAATGTGCATTGCTTCTTAATTTAGAAATTTGAGAGGACGGAGACACGAGGTAAACTGCACGGGTTGAAGGATGGCGAAGAGTTAATCGCATACATGAACACATACAATCGGTACTCAACCGCAACAGGTGGCACCTTGCCAGCCAAGGTCATCTCAAACAAGGCCCCGAAAGACCACATAACGAAAGCGACACCCTCGGTGCAATCGAAACAATCGAGTGCCCTCGCCGAAAAAGTAAGAATACTGGACCTCATACGCGTCGCAGCTACCCTTCAGAATCACGGCCCTCCAGAAAATGATGACCCATGCGGGCGAGTGGTTCGACGATCGGCAGCACGATTGGTTTTAAGCGCCCGGATTCATCGACCGACGAATCTCATCATAATTTGCGTTCGAAATTTGCAGATCAGCTCGGGGAGAAACGCCTGGGCGCCGATGCGAAGAACAGCCACGCACTGGAACTTGGGGCCGCTGGAGTGGGAGACTCATCGGGTAATCGACAACACCATTAAGGAAACGATCAGGAAGACTGATGACGCAGGTTATTGGTGGCCTGTCGATGAGAATAACTCCCAGAAGTGCGGCGGAGAGCCCTGGCGCGAAAAAGGCGGCGTGGATGCAGTCAACACAAGTAAAGGCAAAAGCAAAGTCGCATGCTAAAAGTGCGGAAGAACCGGACATTTGGCAGAGATTGCAAAAGTGAAGGGGGAGGAAAAAGTGCACCCAAAGGAAAAGGGCAGCACCCGTGTTGGCAAAAGGGAGACATCAAAGAATGTTGCGGACGTTGCACAGGATCAAGCAAGCAATTTGCACGGCAATATGGAAAGTCAGTCGGCAAAGGGTGCGTGCCCATAAACGGTAGCGCTTGTTACAAAAGTGGGCAGAAGGGTCACATCGCCGCAAACGCGCGAGTCACGACAATCCACGTCAGATATATTGCCACAGCGAGGTGTCGAGATGTGGCAGCAGAAAAAGCGCAGGCGACGTGTCCCAAGTAGAAGCGAATGGAAGAGCAGGAAAAGCAAGTCCGGCGCCTAACGACAGCCCTGGGTCGAAGAGGGAGACGGAGGCTGCAATTGGACCCGGGAGTTTGCAGCTCGGTGGGACCGCCAAGCGTCGGGCTCCAGTTCCCCGGCAGATTGAGTCGTGTAAACATGGGCGGCATTACAGATAGTAGTAGTAGTAGTAGTAGTAGTAGTAGTAGTAGTAGTAGTAGTAGTGGTAGTAGTAGTAGTAGTAGAAGAAGTAGAAGTAGTAATAGTAGTAATAGTAGTAGTAATCGTAGTCGTAGTCGTAGTCGTAGTCGCAATCGCAGTCGCAGTCGCAGTCGTAGTCGTAGTCGTAGTCGTAGTCGTAGTCGTAGTCGTAGTCGTAGTCGTAGTCGTAGTCGTAGTAGTAGTAGTAGTCGTAGTCGTAGTCGTAGTCGTAGTCGTAGTCGTAGTCGTAGTCGTAGTCGTAGTCGTAGTCGTAGTCGTAGTCGTAGTCGTGGTCGTAGTCGTAGTCGTAGTCGTTGTCGTTGTCGTTGTCGTAGCCGTAGTCGTAGTAGTCGTAGTGGTCGTAGTGGTCGTAGTAGTCGTAGTAATAGTGATCGTAGTCGTAGTAGTAGTTGTAGCAGTAGTAGTAGCAGTAGTAGTCGTAGTGATAGTAGTATCAGTAGTAGTAGTAGTGGCAGCAGTAGTAGCAATAGTAGTAAGAGTGGCAGTAATTCTAGAAGTATTATTATTACTATAATTAGTAATTGTAGTAATAGCAGAAGTAGTAGTAGTAGTAGTAGTAGTAGTAGTAGTAGTAGTAGTAGTAGTAGTAGTAATAGTAATAGTAGTAGTAGTGGTAATGGTAGTGGTGGTGGTAGTGGTAGTTGTAGGCGCAGTAGCACTAGTAGTTGTAGTACTAGTCGTTGTAATAGTAGTAGTAGTAGTAGTAGTAGTAATAATAGTAGTAGAAGGCGTAGTGGTAGTAGTATATATATATGGTAGTACGAGTAGCAGTAGTATTAGCAGTAGTATTCGTAATATGAACAGTAGTATTGGCAGTAGCAGCAGTAGTAGTAGCAGCAGTAGTAGTAGTAGTAGTAGTAGCAGTAGTAGTAGTAGTAGTAGTAGTAGTAGTAGTAGCGGCAGTAGTAGTAGTAGAAGTAGTAGTAGCAGTCGCAGTAGTAGTAGTAGTAGTAGTAGTTGTTGTTGTAGTAATGGTAGTAGTAGTAGTAGTGGTGGTTGTCGTAGTTGCAGTCGTATTTGTAGTAGTAGTCGTAGTCGTAGTCGCAATCGCAACCCGTAGTCGTAGTTGTAGTCGGAGTAGTAGAAGTAGGTAGTAGGTAGCAGGTAGTAGGTATCAGGTACCAGGTGGTAGTAGTAGTAGTAGTAGTAGTAGTAGTAGTAG